GAGGGGGTGTTGTGAGAATCGAGGTGCGAAAGCAGAGAGGATGGTGGGGGAGGAGGGACTCGTAATCTGACACCGCGGTGCCACTTGATTAGAGTCAAGCCGCGACGAGCCCTCCCCCCGTACCTCGTCCCCTTCCCCATTCTCGGTTACCCACCCCGTCGCCACGTCTGCGCGGCACTCCATCCGGACAACAATAACAGAAAGATGAGCTTATAAATCAGGAAAGCTGCATGAATTTTCGCGCGGACTTGTTTAGCGCATTTCCCACGCGGTGGCGTGGGTGCCGAGTCGAGCAAGCGCTCGGATACAACTGTTCGGATTCAAACTTTTCTTATTTCAAGCTCTCTTTTTTCTGAAATGTGAACAGTCCGAGATCCGTTCCGTTTTTGTTTTCCTTTCGAAGAAGAACAAAGAGAACTGTTGTTTGTCGGATTGATTGTTTTGTTTGTCCTGATTTTGAACTAACAATCTATCGTCATTTGTTTGAACCATCTCGTATCTCAGATTCGTCACGCTCTTGAAAACTGCTCCGGTTCGTTTCGTGTAGCGACTCTCTGGGTGGGCGCCGCGAGATGCCCCACCACGCCGCGCTATCACCCCGCGTGCCGCGTGGCGGGGAGGCATATGCCGGCACATGCCACGGCCACGGCTGCTGCTGGGCCCCCCGCGCCACGCGGCGGCACGCGGCGCGCCACTTCATTGTCACAGTGCGCACTACTCTACAGAAGAAGAAGAAGAAGAAGAAGAAGAAGAAGAAGAAGAAGAAGAAGAAGAAGAAGAAGATACGATAGAGAAATGAAGGAAGGAAATAAAGTATTTCCAAAAATAATTCAACATCACTCGAGAATCCGAGCAGTTCTGATTACTCGAGATGGTCGGTCTGGGGCGTGAAAATTCAAACGAACCTCCTCAGGGCTGCTGCTACTGCGTTCTGCTGCAGAGCCCTGACTGTCGACCTGTCCGACTGTCGGTGCGTCTGTCGGCCTGTACGCCTGTCCGTTCTGCTCGCTACCATCGCCACCAACGCACCCTCCTCGTATTGGTGTCATCATTGTCCTCATTGTGACGGCGGTCTCGCTCCCCTTCCTACCCGCCACCGCCGCCGGACTGATCGGGAGATCAAAGTGCCTTCCCCGAGGGGGAGAGAGAGATAGGGACGCAGAGAGGAGCGAGGGAGAGAGAGAGAGAGAGAGGAGGGAGGGATCGCGACGCGCCACTCGTGTCCCCCGCGGGCGGCCAACCCTCAAGTGGATTATGTAGTTAAGATCGGCCAGTTTGTTGTCTCCTCGAGAGGGATTTCTTTCAATCACGCAACGAGGACGACGATGACGTCGCGATTGTGCGACGGAGACGGTGTGCGGTGTATGCCGTTGTTGCGGTGTCCGCGCTCGAGTGTCTCACTCACACTCATGTTCCCGCTCTCGCTCTCTTGCTCGCACTTGCTTTTGCTCTCTCTCTCTCTCTTTTCTGCTTGTTCGCTCTGGCTCGACCTTGCTCTCTTTCTCTCCATCGCTCTCGCTCGCTCCCTCTCTCTCCTCCCCGCCCTTCCAACGACCCTTCTCCCTCTCTCTCCTCTCTCTCTCTCTCCTTCTCTCTCTCGCGGGATGATAGGCTCGCCTTGAACAAGGGCGCGCGCGAGATATCCCGGCGCTCCGATAGGCCCCGACTGCGGGCGCGCCGCCGCCGGCCCTCGCAGAGCAGAGCGGCTCTGGTCGGAAATTGTTGCCGGTTGTGGCGTGGCGGTCGCCGGCAGTGGCCCCCACCCCTTTTCCTTCCAGGCCGGGGCTGGGCCGGAACCCCACGGGGAGCGAGCAAGAGAGAGAGAGGGGGGGGGGGAGGAGAAAGGAGAGAGAGAGGGCCCCACAGACAGAAGGGCGCACAGTAACTACGCACCTGTTAGTGAAGCCTTCAGCAGCGGCGCCGCCACCACTGCCTCTCCCGGTACACATGGAAGAGATAAAGAGAGAGAGACAGAGAGAGACAGAGACAGAGAGAGAGAGAGAGAGAGAGAGAGAGAGAGAGAGAGAGAGAGAGAGAGAGAGAGAAGACGGTTCCCTGGGCTCCCACTCGTTGACGACGCCCTCACACACACTCTCCACACCAGTGTAGGAGCGCTCGTTGCAACCCTTTGCGGCCCCCCGAAATTCCCTCATTATTCCCGTCGCCATCCTACACCCCGCACCCTTTCCCCCTTTTCGCTGCGCCCCGCGAAGAGTTTGAATGCGTGGGGTCGCCTTCATTTGTTTCCACGGCGTGTCGCTCAGCTGAAGAGAGAGACGTTTCATTGAAATCTCTCTCTCTACCTCTCTTTGTGTCCCTTTTCTCTCGCGGAGCGCTGCTATGCTGCCGCCCCCTGCCCTGTTTTCACGCTCTTACTCGCTCGCTCACACTTGCTCGCTCGTTCACATTCGCTCGCTTGCTCGCCGCTATCTGTCCCGCTCCCTCAAAGAACACACTACAGGCGGCGGCCCTCCGTCACCCATCCGATACAAAGGGCCCTGCTACTCCTTTCCCACCCCCGTGGCCACCCCTCCCCTCCCCGCGGGCGGGTGGCGGTGGTGGGGGCCGCGCGCCGGCCCGCGATTGGCGGCATTGATCGCAGGCGCCGCCCCCCACCCCCGGGCAGGCGCCTCCCTCCTGACGGGTCGCGGGGTGGGGGGTGCGGCGGCGCTGGCGCCGAGCCGAGCCCCGGCCTCTGAGCGCGCCGCCCGCCCGAGGAAAGCTTTTTGGCGTCAATACTTCCGGACGCGCTCGTGTGCGGGTGTGCGCGGGCTGCTGCTGTTCGACTGTGCGCGGCGCGCGCGTCTGCGCTCTTTCTCTCACCCTCTCGCTCGCTCTCCCGCTCTCTTTTCGTCTCCCTCGCTCTCGTGTCCGACGACAGCCCCTTTCTCGCCATGCCCGTGAACGCCGCGCGCGGGCCCGGGTGATCCTGGAGCGAACCCCGCCGTCCCCGACCTCCCCGTCGTCGCCGTCCCCGCGCGTCCGCGTCGGCACCATGCTCGACATCAAGACGTCGGCTGCGGCCGACTACCTCAGCAGGTCGGCCACCTTCTCGACCAACTTCTCCATGCTGTTTGGTGAGTGCGAGCCGTCACTGCAACGGTGTGCCAAGTGCAACATCTTCAACACGCTGTCAAAACATTCTGCGGACAAACCTTGTATGACATTTCTGGGATTTCGTGCGCAATTTCCTTACCACCCCGTATTGAAATGTGGTCTCGTTCTCTCGTTTCCAAACACTTCTTCTTCTTCTTCTTCTTCTTCTTCTTCTTCTTCTTCTTCTTCTTCTTCTTCTTCTTGATGCTGGTTACTCAGCATCAGCATGTTTGACATTGACACGGCATTGCTCTTATTCAGGGAAATGTTTTTGCGTGGAGAGCAAATCCCCTTTGGCGTGTCGTAGCACACTTTTCCTTAGAGCATGTTGTAGCACACTTAACCTTAGGGAACAGGTGTGTTCGTCTCCTTAGCATTTAGCAGACATGACGAATGTTCATAGTGAGCTATGCAGCTATGCAGCTCACTGTTACATATTTAGTTTGCATGAAGGTCAACCAACCCAGTGAGGTGTTTTTGCAAAGCATTTGGTGATGTTCATTGGATACTTGTTTTTGTAGCAGTAACTGGCGTTTTCAAAAACAGCGCGCATAGAAAACATGACGATTTAACCACATTTCTCGTGCACGATCGTGGTTGGATTGGAACTTGGGGAGATCTCTTTATTATCAAAGAAGTGTTTACTCAGATTCCGGCAGGCGTTTAAGTTCCCATTTCACATTGATTTCAGAGGGGTGCCATTGGGCTAGCAGCGCTTAGTGATTTGATCATTAAGTCACCTGTGAACTAAAAACACTGAACTTAGAAACTAGTTTTTGTCCAGTTCTGTCCACATCAATCATTCGAAATCGAAATGTTTTCAAATTTCATTGAGTTTTACTTTATATAAAGGTTGCAATGTGAAATTTATTTTTCCTCGTAATGGTCGTAAAAAAGAGGCAAACAGAAGAAATCGAGAGAGGGGGAGAGAGAGAGCGGGAGAGAGAGAGAGAGCGGGAGAGAGAGAGAGAGAGAGAGAGAGAGAGAGAGAGAGAGAGATGTATATTAGGGGGAGGGGGGGTCTGACGTTCAGGTCGATACCAGCTTGTC